GCCACCCATACAAAGCCACATTACAAGATACGCAAAAAATGTCACCATGTTTTAGAAGGAAAAATGTGCAACATTCTTCTCAAGGTTCATAGAAAAGTTTGAGCTGGAGTGATTCACAAAGAGAAAAAGCCAAAAACAACAAAGAGTAGGAAGAAAGGAAGGGAGATGATATGAGCATGACCCATTGGGAAAGGTTGCAAGCCAGCTCAAGCAAAATTTCAAGTGAATTCCCTGACCTTATTGTGCCTTGCTTTCTTTGCTTGGGCAGGTCATCATTCAGGTCAGGCTTCTGCCGGCGTGGGTTTACCTTGGACCTCATTGTTTCTCCTCTGACTCTCTAAATTACCCTTCCAAACACAGAATCTTCATCCATTAGTTATCTCAATGTGTCTCATCACCCTGAAACTCTGCTATCTTTCCTTGATGGGACCTTTAATCTCTTAGAGTGGCCAGATTCATCCAGGCCATTAATTGCTTTCTGGCTAAACAAAGTCCACTGCAAACTCCTCAATACCCTGTATTCCTTCACCTTCTGAACACCTGTGGGCAGGCTTACCATGCCAATCTCTGACTCATGGTCACTTGACTCAACTTTCTCTGCTCCTTATCGTGGGCTACGGAGGACTCTTAACAGGAAGTTGCAGAGCTGGGCAGTTCTTGGCCAAAACAGACTCACGCTGATCCTTGCTGATGGGTCTCTCACCTCTCACTGACTTCTTCCTTCCATACTGTCCAGAGAATTTATTCCAGATATGCTCCTCTCTCCTCACAGTCTCATTTCCAAATCATTTCTCTAATCAGTGGTTGATGAATCTCTTGCTATGTGGAGAAGCATGGCCTGCATATATATTTTTAGCTTCACTTGTGTTGTCTCAGAGGAAGAGGTTTCTTCCCTGTCTAAAGCAAGCTCCAATTGAATCTGGATCACTTCCCATTCTTCTCCATGATTCCACTTCTCTTATTATCCATAACTACTATTTCATTCTCAAGCATCTTCCACCTCATGTTCTCTATGGCCTCCTTACCTTCTATCAAACAAAAAACAACTTAACTTTGTTACCAATTCTAGTCATTATTTATGATGCCTGTATCTGCTTCTGCTCAGTACCCAACTTCTTGACCAGTGGTCTTTGCCCACTTTCTCTCCTCAATGTCGTATGTTCTGGCCTCCACCATTATCTCTCTACTAAAGTAGTTCTTGCTCAACACTGTCCTCAATTCCTCTCTTCTTTATAATATCTGATAATGTTGATTATTCCTACTTCTATAAATTCTTCTTGTGGGTTCTATAATCCAATGCTTTTCTAGTTTTCTTCCAGCCTCTCAGACTGCTCATTGTCTAACTCCTCTGCAAACTCATCTTTCTTTCCTTCTCCCTTACTGTGGGTAGCCACCGAAGTTTTATACTCAGCCCTCTGCTCTTCTTTCTATCACTTATCTTTCACACTCATTAATTCACATTCTCTGGGCTTCAGCCAGCACCTCTGTACTACCATCTTCTAGTCCTTCTACTTTCTTCAACCCTGATATGAATACAAATCTTTTATATCTATTTTCTAACTACCTACTGTATGAAACTGATCTCATATTCTGCAAATCAGTCCCATCAAGCAGTCCACTTATGTCAATTCTACTGAATTTGTCCCTCCTACCCCCCAAAAAAAGGTATGTTGAAGTCTTCAGAATGTAACCTTATTTGGAAATAGGATTTTTACAGAGTTAATCAAATTAAAATGAGATAGTTAGGGTGGGCTTATTGACCTATATGACTAGTGTCCTTATAGAAAAGGGAAATTTGGACACAGGGACAGACATGTACACAGGGAGAATATCCTGCAAATATGAAGGCAGAGATTGGGGTGATGCATCTACAAGGCAAGGAATGCCAAAGGTTGCCAGGAAACTGCCAGAAGCTAGGAGAGCCCTCAGAAGGAACCAACCTGCTGACACCTTGATCTCAGACTTCTAACCTACAGAACTGTGAGACAATACATTTCTGTTATGCCATTCAGTTTGTGGTATTATATTTCAGCAGCCTTAGTGAACTAATAAAAGCACAAAACCTCCAGTCTCCCAGACTAGAAAACCTAAACTCATTCTGGGTTCTTTCCTTTTCTTCATCATCTATAATCAATCTGCCACCAGACTTTAGTTATTCTTCTAAAATGACTCCTAGCATCCTTAATTTATACTCTCTGTTGCCTCCTTTTCTGCCATTTTTTCTCAGTTCCTGATGTCTTCACTTTAGTTCCAACCTTTATCATTTCATATCTAAATTCCTTTAAAAGCCTCTGCTTGGCCTCTTTTAATCCAAAATTATTTCCTAAATACATAATCATGTTGCCTCCATCACACTAGTGCCATGGCTGAGACATGCTTATTGTGCCATATTGCCTGCTATGCTAAGTCTAAGCATGGCCCTCATGGTCCCCCATAATCTGGATCTATCTTGCCCACTCAATCTTTTATCCCTCTCTACACATCATCTTTACTTCCCTCTTTGAGCTCTGCCTTTCTCCTTTCCTGCCTCCACATCAAGCCGCTTTAATTTCCCTCCTCTCCAAACCTGTTCATTGTTCAAGGCCCTGATCAATTGTCATTGCAACTACTCTGGCCCACACTAATATCTCTTGCTCTTGCTGCATTCTAATCCATACCTTCCAGGTTAGCACTAAGTGGTATTGCTTATATTTAATGTAGATTGACATATATTACATCTTTATTTCTATCAGCTTATAGAATCATAGTGCTTGTTAATAAATTGATCACACTTCTAAAATGAGAATAATGGGAGGTGAGTGGCGAGAAGGAAGGAGATTGGATACCAGGAGAAAAGAACATTTTGGCTAAACAATGAAGAATTAGTGTAAGTCAATGTTTTCCAAATGTGCTTTCTGGACTACCAGCATCAATATAATTTAGGATGCCTGATAAAAATGCAGATTCCTGAATCCTGTTAGTCCTATTAAGTCACACTCTGGAGTCCAGAAATCTGACTTTTTAAAGGTAACACAATGACTTTTATATACATACCAAATCTCAGAACCATTAGTCTAGGTGAAGATGGCAGAAGATAGATACTAAAAAGGAACTGCTTTTCTTAAGTTTACTGGGTAGGAGTACTTCCCATCATGGCTAAGAATAGGATGAAATATTTTCACACTACCATAATTTGCTTTGATGTGATTCTCCCTCTTCACCACATCGCTTTGAGCACAGTAGTCCTTTCTTCTGTGTCAAGAGTATTTCCAGTATTGCATCACAAATATGAGATCGCTAGTAGAGATACTCTTGAAGAATATACATTTTGTGGCACTCCAAGGAAAGGTTAACTGAGACTGCTAGCCTAGCTTTGACTCTTACTTTCTCTGTGAAGTAAAATTTAAGCAGAAACATGCTGTAGGCTCCTGGAATTCAAGTTTGGCAACCAAGAAAGAGAAAAAAAAAACCACCCTGAGATCTGGTTGCTTAAGCTTTTAATTGGAACCAAGCAATAACTAAAACATGTAGCTGATTTAGATAAAAACTGAGGACCCACTCACTGGTTCACAGTAAGCAGGATTTCTGCTGTTGAGTACTACAGAGGCGAGATAACAAAATTAGATACGATCGAGGGGAAGGAAGAAAAATGCACAAAAGTCCTTGAATTAAAATGAATTGAAACCTTCTGGGAGAAAAGCTATTTGGTAAGCTCCATTAAGTCTATTGTAGATAGCTTTATTTGACAAAGCAGCATCCTGGCATGTGGAACAGGAAAGAAAATAGCTATAAGATGATCTGTCAGGGAGTTTCCAGTCTCTAAACGAATAAGATTCTGTGCAGTAGCCAATACAGCTTTTAACTCAAAAGAGATACAGAAGCAAAATGCAATTATATAACCCTAGTAAGTGCTTTCAGTCTGAATCTCTCATACACCCCTCTCCTCCTTAATAAGTCCTCAAACTCAGCAATTTATCAAATGGATGCTCAAACTTATGGTTGCATTCATTTCAGGGTTACACTGGATTAACTCTTATACGATACTACAGATGCTGAGGTGGAGACAATCCTACCAGTCAAAGATTCAACAGTAATAAAACACCCTGGCTAAGCACTTAAATAACTTGAATAGCTCAATTAGTATTAAACTCTTTTGTTTATTTTGGCTATAAGTTTATACTCTATGTTTGCAGTAATTAGTTCACTGCTTTGAAAATGCTATCCACTGATTATAAAGGGTTTATTCAATATATATTGAGGTTTATATTTAGAGACCTAACATATGGCAAAAATAGAGGAAATTCAGATCTAACAGCTAACGAATGCCTTAAAAAATCTGACTTGGTGGTTTTCTTTCCTTAAGAGCTTCTGTTTATGGAGTAGATTCCAGGACCACTGAAGTGGCTTTATTGCTGCTGACTTTAATATGCAAGTACTAGAACCAAGAAAGTCTGACTTACATTAGACTCAGTCTGGTCTCTGTCTTCTCTGTCTCTGTCTCTCTCTCTCACACACAGACACACACACACACACACGTACACACACACACATGGTAGGTACTGTATACTGCCGTATCTCCAATGTCTAGCAAAGTGCTTGGCATGTAATAGTTATTAAATAATGCATGGATTCATTTAACCATCACAAAATCCCTGTTAGATGGTTTTTATAATGTACTTCTTACAAAAATGGAAGCTGAGCCTCACTGGGAAACAAGTCCTTTCTCTGTCGAGGAGGACAGAGCTGGAACTAGACCTCAGTTGTTCTAACTTTAGGTCCAATGCTTTGTCCACTTTTCAAGTCCACTTTTAATTAGGCACTGTGATGAAATATGGGGGTAAATGAAGACCACAGAAAATCCTATAGCCACATGGTTGGCATTCAGCCAGTGTGTACTTATATGGCCTTTCCAGTTGTTGGTAGCTGGTTTGTGCTCATACCTTACTGGGTGTTAACAGTTTTAAAATATCATCCCTGTAAGCAGATGTTAGTTAAATAAAACAAAGCAGAATTATCTTTACCTGATTCCTCAGTTTCTTTTGTTTCTGTTGTTTCTTCTATTTCATCATCAGACATCTCCATTTCTTCTTCTCGCCTGATTCCCATTAATTCATCATTATGTATGTTGCGAATTTCCTAAGGTTAAAAAGTATGCTTTTTAGGTGGGAAAGCCTTTAAAATGTTTAGGAAATTGTTGAAAAGAGTTAAGGATAAGATGAGGCAGGATTTTTTTGGACAAATAACAAAACTTCAGTGTACTTTTAAGGCAAACGCAAAAGGGCATGTTGAGTTGTACACTCAGTCTTGCATACGGCATTTTTTCCATACCCAGAGCTCTGGCAGGGAGTGATTCTTGCATCCTTCCCATATTAGAAAGTACTGTTGGCCATGAAAGACACCTCGCCTCTTACTTATATGGATTTCTGGGCTTTCCTTTAAGTGTTCTGCCATTTTCACTTTCCCATGTCAAATCCTTTGATTTTGCTGCTTTCCATCCTCTTCCCTCTCCCCTTAGTCTAACTTGACAGAACTCTTAATTGAACTTTTGCAGGTTTAGAAGTTACAGCAAAAATAAGCTGCCAAGAGTGAACTTCTACCAGATCAGCCTTTCCATGGATAATTACTATATGCTCAACCTACAAACCCAAACCAAACTCCCAGCTACCTGAAGGCATTGCACAGTGAACAAAATAGAGCATATTCTGAAGAGGAGCTGACACTTGGAGGGAGGGTGTGAGTCTTCTAGATTTTAAGGGTCTTTTAAAAGAGCAGACAACAGTTAGCATCTCACAGAGTGGTTAAAGCTTTAATAGAAAACCTATAGTTTTTATATGCTAAAGACGCCAGGGAGAGAGTTTAGGGCAACTCCCGCCTTTGGAAAGTGAGGAGGGGTATGCCAGAAGGGAGATAGCCGGAGACACTGAGATCCAAACCTGTGTGTAAGATCTGTTCAAAATTCACCCTTGAACTACAGGGCATTCCAAACAACATAGCTAAGTGTAAAAGAATGAACATAGACTTGAGCTGTCATCTAGGAGAGATAATTTCCATCTTAAATCCAAGGAAGGAAATTGACCATTAAAAATATAGGTAACGGTTAAACCACTCTGTTGTACACTTGAAACCAATATAAGATTGTATATCAATCATACTTCAATAAAAAAAGACCATTAAAACAAAAGAAAACAAAGTCAACATTCTTTGGAAAAATAGAATTCATAATAGAGTAATAGACTTAAAAGCAAAATATTTACAGTATGCAAGTTAAGCCCCAGATTATTTGACATTCAAAGAACTAGGATGAAATGACCTACTTTGAAGAAAAAAGACAACAGAGACCAAACTTGAAATGAACCTGATACGGCAATTAGCAGGCAAGGAGTTAAAGCAGCTGTTATAACTATCTCAATGATGGAAAGAAATGCGCTCATAATGAATTAAAAGAGAGAGAATCTTAGCAAAGAGCTAGAAACTTTAAAAAAACAACCAAGTGGGAAATTCTAAAACTGAAAAATGTAGTATCTGAAATAAAAGTAATTGGATGAACCTAACAGTAGAATAGATATGACAGAATAAAGAGAGAACTTGAGAGAACAATACAGATTTATCCAATCTGAAGAACAGAGAGAAACTAACTGGAGTCACAGAAAGAGGGAAGAGATTAAATGATTCAAAGTATTTGAAGAAAAAATAGTTGAAGAGTTCTCGAATTTGATGAAAAACACTACTCTATATATTCAAAGAGCTCAGGAAACCTGAAGCAGGGAATGTGTGAAAAAAAAGTATGCCTAGGTAAACCATAGCCAAACTACTGAAAACTAAACATAAAGAGAAAGTCTCTCTTTAGTAAACTAAACTTGTTATGATAATCACTTCCTAATATATGTAAGTCATTATGCTGTAGTACACCTTAAACTTATACAGTGTTATGTCAATTATATCTTAATAAAATTGGGAAAAAAAAGAGAAACTCTTAAAAGCAGCCAGAAAAAAATAACACATTATATACAGGGGAACAATAATTTGAATACTTTGATTTCTTTCAGAAACAATGAAGTCCAGAAATCAGGGGAGCAATATCTTTAAAGTACAACAAGAAATAAAAATATCTGTTTTCAGAATAATATATCCAGCGAAAAGTTTTTTCAAGAATGAAGATGTTATAAATATACATATATTTAACTTAAAAAAATTAAAGTATCATTGATATACAATCTTATGAAGGTTTCACATGAACAACACTGTGGTTTCAACATTCACCCATGTTATCAAGACCTCACCCCCACCCCCCCGACTGCAGTCACTGTTTATAAGTGTAGGAAGATGCTATAGAGTCACTACTTGTCTTCTCCCTGCTGTATTGCCTTCCCTGTGACCCACCTATATCGTGATTGTGAATTCCAGTGCCCCTTAATCTCCTTCTTCCTCCCCATCCACCCTCCCCAACCTCTCCCAACAGTATGGGAGAATATATTTGTAAATGACTTATCTGATATAAATATATTTTCAGATAAATGTAAATGCAAGAATTTTTCACCCAAAGATTTGCACTACAAGAAATGCTGAAGAAAGTTCTTCAGGAAAGCATGCAGAACATTGGAAATGATCAAGATCACACTGGAGAAGTCACTTTTTCAATAAAAAAGCAAGCACGAGAACTGTGCATTTTGGAGCAGTTTGCAATCATTAAGAGGTCACTTGAAGCCTTTCAGAGGCTCCTCAGTGATGAGCTGAGAATTCTTTGCCTAGGTTTAGCTCCAATTGGGCCAACAAAGCTGTCTGTCAAAAATTGCCTCCAGTTAGGGGGATAAATATTTCAAGTGGGTTTCTTAATAATTAATGCTATAGTTAATCACCATCTCAGCTAATATTTTCCTTTTTAAATTTCTTCCATTAGGAAAAATAATTTCTATATCAAGTCGAACTTTCACTGAAGATAAATAAAAGTAACTTTTTAAAAAGTGAGCTATTCTGTGTTACCTGATAGTTAAGAAGTAATAGAAAAATAGAATTAATAGAAAATAGAAATACTAACATAGCATCTCTCATGTGCTGCAGGGGCATTACTTAAAATAGAAGGAAATAATGACTTGGTCAAGAAAAATAAACTTTAAAGAGCTGTGTCAAGAGAGAGATTTGCTATGTCTTATTTAAACTCATTGCACAGAGAACAATACAGGAATTGCTCATTTCTAAGAATTCATTCTGTCTCAGGAGTCTGGGTTTCAGTTATCATCAAAGGGCTGTTACAGGGAAGGTGTATAATGAGGTTTGACACGGGCAAATTCGGAATATTGTACAACTTGCTGCATCAGGAACAGTCAAGGCTCTCCTTTTGCCAGGCAGAAATGTGGACTGTCAGAGAGTATAAGCAGAGACTAACTCTCAATTCACAAACATGTCGTCTAATTCAGGACAAATTATTGTGTTTCTCAGAAGAGTAAATTATATTCTTCCTAGGGAAATGTCCCAGGGCAGGAAGACATGAGAGCTAAGACATGCCCTGTAGCTGCTGAGCATCTACAGAACACCTTACTGCTTCCAGCTGGGCAAGAAAGCATTATTTCTTCTTAGAAGTATAAAAAGTTCAGTAACTAAGTGATAACAGCTTATACAGAGGTCTTCCACACCTTCAAAAAAATCCCTAGAAATATAACACACCTATGGGTAAATTTTACCTCAGTGCTTCAAAGTACTTGAGGAATATGTTATCAATTCCTTTACTGATAATGAAATGAGGTGATTCAAAACTAAGGGGAAGTTTGCTCTCTTATTTAGTCAGGCAGGCAAAATGGCAGAACTCTGAGCCCTGTAACCACTAGATAATCCTTCCTTAGCTACAAACAAATTAAGGCCTGTTTCATTACTCTTCCAAAAATATCCAATATTAGGTCACATGAATGGGATGAAGGCAAAGAGAACATCAGAGATAAGTCATAGGGTAACAAACTAAAGTAAACTTATGGGCAGCATTTAGTAAATGACAGTACCCCAAAGTAAGGCAGGTGAGATTTTATTTCGTTGAAAGCCTTACCTTTAAACATTTGATATCTAAGATACTTGTTTTCTGTATTTTCTGGTTGGATCAAAAAGCTATACTTTGGAAATCAAACTCTACCAAATGCTTTCAGAGTGAAAGGCTAAAAGGTAGTGCTTACCTAGGGAGGACACTCTACTTACCTGGGATACAGGTGCATGAGGAGGACTCTGAGCCACTGAAGGGCAGGCAGCAAGGTAAACAGCTACCTCCCAGATCTGCCCCATTTCCCACCCTGACATTTGGATACAGTGTAGCAACCAAGAGTGCCAATGGCATGCAAAAACGTTTTCCAGAAATTTTCATTTGTAGAGACTACATCCAAAAAGGTAAGAAGCCCTCCTAAAGTTTCTATACCACTATATTGTTCACAGTAGACCAGTGGTATTTTTCACTGAAACAGTGAACTGTTAGTGATTTCTGAAAATGCATTGTAATGCCTTTGAGTCTGTTCTAATGGTAATTTGTCTGCAGCTTAGAAATTTACACACTGCTCCACAATGGAGGACAAAGCACTTTCACATAGAATAAAACTGAAACCTGAGACAGAAGAAAGGGCATGAAAAGAATCCCTTTCTACCAGCTGACATGTTTGATTTATCATACAGTAAGCAAATCATAATCATTGCACATTAATTAACTGTATAGTTTCACAACAATGTATGCGGACTCAAATTCATCTTACTCATGTTTTATGTTAGGAACATGATTATCAGATATGCAAAATTCCTTATTAATTGTGTAATAAAGTTGGATTCACCCACACTTTCAATATTAACAGGATACTAGGTGAGGAAGGGTGAGATGAAGGAAAGAAATGGAACAGAGGACAGAGAGACCTTCTACATTTATGTAGAAATTTAATTCTGAGATTTCATTCAGAACAATGAAGCAAAGCACAAACACAGGTTCTGAATCAATGTCTGTTGTGAGATACATAATGGAAATACAAATTAAATTGATCCAAATATGTTGGTATGTGTTTCTTTGGTTGAAAGCAATACCTAGTGTTAGTGCAAATGGGTCCTAAAACAAGGGTATGTAGATGACTTGAACATCTATCTGCAGTTCTTCAGAGTTTGGGATTGTAGGCTTGGAAATATGGGAAGTTATTTTAGCAGTCACAGTGTTTCATTCTACAAGAAAGCTAGTAATCACCAAGTCCCTCTTTCTCTAGCCTGGTGGTATAAGATCTTATATTAGGGAGGATGCAAGGGTGTATCTTCTAGTGCCTACTGCTGTGGCTCTAGTTCCTATATATCATCCAAGGCTTAGCTTCTAATCTAGGCCAGCTTCTCAGTGAGAGAAATGCATGGGTTTTAAATGATTCAGTAGAAAAAAACAGTTCCCACAATATATAGGTGTCAGTAGAGTCACTACAGGCACTTTCAGTAAGGGGATGGACTTCAGCTTTCTCTTATTGCTCTTCCCAATTGTATCAGCAGGGCCTCATATACACATAAATCAGGAAAGTAAACCAAAGAAAAAGACTCATTAATAAACTAGTCTGCCTGACATATGTTAACGAGATGAGTGCCAAAGCACCCCCAAGGCGGGGACTTTTCCTTTTTACTCCATGACCTTTCTCTCATCAGAGTAAGACAGGGTTACCTGCTGGTAGGAGGGTAACAATAAGACAAGGAACAGGTAGTTTGTGACATGTGGAGGTCACCAGCTGGCTTATTCCCAGAAACAACTATAAAACATTTCAATGTCAGAAACTTCCACCTTGATGAGACCTCTAATTTAGAAGTTGTAGCTTCTATGTCTAGGTAAAAAAAAAAAGCCAGTCTGGTTGATTAAGCTAGTGAGATGCCCTGATTCTCAGCTGGCTGCTAAGGGGCAGCTCCAATTTAAGAGGGAAGCTCTGTCACTTTCTACAGGAGAGCTCCTTTTAGTCCCCAAAGTTGCTTATTATAAAGTGAAAATGTGCAGAGGTTAAAAAAGAAGCCATGATTTAAAGAGACACTAATATGAAGTAGAAGACATCTTTTAGGTTTAGGGAATGCATGCCACAGGAAGGTCATGATCTATGTTTCACTCTCAGTAGTTTTACTTATCAAGATTGAGGTATTCAAGGTGACCCTTAGTTTTAGTCCAATTCAATAGGCAGGAAGTCTTTTTCTGGGTTTCTACAAAGTCTGCAAGGTTCATTAAGAAACATGTAGCTCTAGGCAAGTCATGCTGGCCATTTACTTTATCCCCATTACTCTGCCAAGGAAGCTGTGCTACAATATTAGGTGACAGGGTGTATATAGCTCTAGTTATCTATAGGCCCAGAGAAATGTCCAGTTCATGGGCATAGCTATTGTTACTCAGATAATTAAACTCAACTATATACATACCAGATAGATAGACTTGAAAAAAACCACAGAATGCCTTGATGAATAACATTAATGGAGAATATTTTCTTGCACTGTTGGTCACAAAAGAGTTGTGGCCTAGGCAAGTCAGTGCTCCAACCAGAGACTTCCCTTCTTCCTATGAAAAGGCAATGTTGTACTAGCAGAGCTTTCCATACCAGACTGGCCAGTTCAGACAGCTTCCTTTCCTCCCTCAAAGGGATACATGCATATATATATTTAAGGGAAGGTAGAGACTAAATACAATAGAGACTTTAATACAATTTTAAGACATATTGAGCATTTTTCTCTCGACCTTTATTCTTCTAAACTATTCAAAGTAAAGAGTTTGGGTATTTTTAATTTAAGGTACTGACCTCCACTTCTCTTGATCATTTTAGTTACCCTTCTAGCTTCCTGAGGGCAAAGACCATTTCATCCTGTGTTGTCTGTCAAAATGCCTGAAACAGATTAAGTGCTCAGTAAACAGTGAATTAAAATGTTGAATTTTGTTTGTTGAGGCTCAAACAACAGGAGGTAGCCCTAGGATCAGAATACCATTTTGTGTTACAGTAAGACAATAACTCCCTTTTTTTCCTCCTAATTCTTTTTTTTGAACAATTAAAAATGCTACTGGCTTTTTATGACTCTACCCATCCACTGGGCTGATGTCTTCGGGGATTTCTCTCCAGTGACCCCCAAGTCCCTTTCTGAGCCAGAACTGATGGGTCAGAGCATATCAGTTTATAAATAGGGTTTGACTTATTTTCCTCTAAATGTTCTTCATGGTTTTCAAATTGTTGCCGCATGAACTATGTCATGTATTCTTATGAAGGGCAGAAAAAACAGATTATTATCTTCGTATTATAGATTAGGAAATTGAGGTCTACAAAGATTAAATGACTCAGTCAAGACTACAAGGCAGTTTATACCAGAGTTCAGAGTGAGAAGAAATTCTAGTTCTTCATTGCCCACTTACTAGCTGTGTAATTTTGTGAATATCACTTAATATTTCTTTGTCTCAGTTTCCTCACATGTAAAACATGGATATTATATCTGCTTATGTTATCCATTATGGAATTGTTAATGATAAATTGAAATAATACTATTTATCAAGTATGTAGCATTTATATTTTCAAACTGCCTATACATCTCTTGTCTCTTTAATCCTGTAAGACTGGCTCCATTATTATCTCCAATTTACAGATCAAGAGAGAGAGATGGAGAAAGGCTAACTTGCTCAAAGCCATGCAGTGATGTACTGGAGCTATGATTTGGGTTCACGTCTGACTGTAAGGTTCTTTCCACTAAACCACATCTACTGAGAGTCTCGCAGAGGTGAAACAACCAATGTGAAAGTGCTTTTGAAAATACAAATGCCTCACAGATGCTATTTAAATGTTAAGGATCATGACAACCTGCCTTGATAGATAAGTGAGACTACTACCAACCAGACTGGCAAAGAGGACTCAGAAACGAAATTGAACAAGTTGCTGCATACATAGATTGAAAGTGCCAGAGTTGGGTAAAGAAGCTGTCCATAGGAACAGAACAATTTGAGGCATATGTGACATCATTCCAAATCAGTGAAAACAAACCTCCTATCTTGGTTTTTAATCTTGGATTCAGAATAGCAACCTAATCATGTCAGACATATTCTAGTGTCATGCTAAAAATGTCACTTGAGCACAAAAGGAGAGGTATGTGTCAGTCATAATCTGAAATCAGAGTCCTCTGTTACCTTAAAAACTGCCATCTATAAAGATGGCTGAGTAGGTTTGATAAAAGAAACTCAGAAATTGCAACGCTCCAGTGCAACACCAGGCAGCTTCCAGCTTCAACTGTCAAGATGCTCTAATAAATCTAAGACAGCCTTAATATTACTAACACTAGAAGAACAGGTCAGTAATTATTGTTGTACCTAGGACTAACTAGCTTAGAGAAGTAAACTTATAATTATCACAGCTACATTTTCACTACTAATGTTTCCATCCAGCAGAATGCATTCAAGACAGCATGTGCACATTTACTACCCTTTTGGCAGCAGGTGGTCTGGACACAGTGATGGGCTAGAGAACACATCTTAGTGTTTCATTAGGACCTTATTATGACAATGGGAGCTTGGCATTATTTAATTCTGGCCAAACTCCAAATAGATAACTTGTTAAAGCAAGACACTGAGGGACTACCAGAGTAAAAAGTTACCAACCTCAGCTTGTTTGCACCAAACACTGATGTTTTTCCGCTGAGCTTTTGTGAAGTGGTCCCAAGCCTTCTGTTTGGAGGCAGAATGGTACACAGCTACTATCTGCTCAACTGCAGCATCAGATCAGCAGTTGAATCAGGCCAGAGCATCATCCAGGGATGGCAAAAGAGAGGAGAAAAAGAAAAAAAGAGCATCAGGCTTCTTGTATCTTCTTGTATGACACTACTAGACTAGGGCTGTGCTTGGAAAAGGCTATGTGTGTCGGGGTACCATGATCTTAGAGGGAACTCAAAGGCAAAGATATCAACATACAGAATTAAAAAAAGGGAACTTCAGAAAGTTTGGGGTGTAATGGTGACAGAAGTTTTAATACGGGTAGTCTGTATTCAGGTAGGAGAGGCAAGAGTCATGGTGAATGTGCGTTAGTACTACTGATTTCACACAGGACGGCAGCAAGTGCCAAACCTTACAAGCTCCTTTTGACCACTGTTTTCTTTCATAAACTAGCCCCAAACTAGCCCTCCAAAATGAGCCTGGATATTTCACTTCAAAAGAATCCATTCTTTTACTATTGTCCATCCTTGTACTATTCTGCAGTATGTTTAACCAGAAGCATCAAATCAAAACCTAAGATGGATGGAATCTATTTTATGTCTACCTAGATAGGCTTGTTGAATGGGAAATATGTTTTTTGGAAGAATACTGTGTAAATGCAATCCTAGAGAGTATTTTTCAGGGTCTCCTAACATGTCAAGCAGGGAAATATGTACAAATATCCTGGGGCTTTATCCTAACCAGTTTAAGAGAAGGGAAACTTAGACATGCCTTTTTTTTGGGAAAGAAAAAGAAGCCCAAGAGCCTCTACCTGGTTCAGTGTTCAGAGTAAGAATATCCAGAGGTTATTTCTTCCTTTACAGCCCTATTTGTACCTTGACTACTAAAGATTTAAGGATTTATATTCCCATGATGCTTCCTGCTCTCTTTTTCTATGTATTCTGAAGCCCTAAAAACATGGGTTTTCTCCTCCTGGATTCCATGCTCTTATATACTTTCAAAATAAAAACAGAAAATGAAACAACTTCTCCTTAATCCCAATTATGTATGAGTCAAATATGAGAAGCCAAGTATGAGAAGAGTTGGTCATAATTGTTTAAAAGCAAAATCATAAAACTATACCTTATTTTTCAGGTAAACAGAGGTCTTTACTCAAAAGAGATAAGTGCATAGTTATATATTGTGATGAACTAAAAACATCGCTTTAGAATTTTTCTGATTTGTCTAATTTAAGAGACCTTGCATAGGTTTGGAGTGGTATGCTTTAGAAAATGGCCATTTCAGTGGCTTCCCATACTGTCCAATGTCTATGACACCCAGTGAAGGAAATGCAGAGGAAATGAAACTAAAAGCAAAAGGGGAAGCAGCAAATTTGGCTTTTGCTCAATCACCTTGGGAAATATAATCACATTTATTACTAAGATGGGGTACCAAAAAGTATATTACATGATAAAAATGATGCAGATCTGAAGCAAAGAAGTTTACAAATGCTGGTGCTACAGTCTAACTTTATCAATGAAATTCTGAACTCTCCACCAAGGCCTGGGGCTGCTGTAACTTACTTTGAGAGCAAGCAAAATAAAAGCACAGGATTGTGGCCTAAGTGCCAGGAGCTGTCATAGATACACCAAAGAAAATGAACATGGGAGGTGCCCACATGTATCCCATGAAACCAGAGCTTGGGCATTTGGCAATATAAGATCACAAGGTGGTGAAGAAGGGAGCCTTGCCTCTTGACGTAGGATGGCTCTGCAGACCTGGCTCCTGTATAGAGAAAGTGGTAACTAAGTGACGTGCCCCCTCACCCCTCCAGCAGAACTCTGGCTTGTACTCACATTGAATGAGAATTCCAGAAAGGGCCTGCTTGAACTTCTCCTTGGCTTCTTCCATGTCTTTCTCATGGGTGGCTTTCTCATTCACCAGGCGGCGGACGTGGCTGTTGGCTGACTGGATCATGGAGTAGAAGTTGTTGGCACTGCGACGGTTTACCTCTCCTCGTTCAATCCAGGTGAGCAAGGTCTGCACGGCTTCTGAGAATTTGGAATCATCTGAAAAAAAGAAAATTTATTTTAGAATCATGAAAAGTAACCAAAGAGGCCACCATGGCTCTTTGGCAGTGGTTGCTAAAGGAACTGCTGAGGATGAGGAGCCCTACATGCACACCCATGCACACATAGGCAGCAGGCAGGCAGACAGAATGTAAAACTTAAAAAGTAGTCAGATTGGTTATAGATTATGAAGAATTTTCAGACAGAGAACTGCTTTTTTTTTCTTAAAAAAGTTTTCTTTGCTGATACAGTTTTCACATATTGCAAATTTTTAAACTTTTCTGATTGTGTGTGTGTGCATGTGTGTGATACATGAACTAGCAGTAAGAGAACTTCAGAATTCCAGTTCAATTTTTTAATAAGGAAATGTAAAGTTGAATCTTGAGTTAAACTTGAATTTGACAGTCATTTTGTCATGGATCTATGGAATAATAGAATTGGAAAGAGCCTTAAGAAAGACTTAAATGGGTAGTTCCTAAGGTATAAACACTGTAGCTTTGACCTTTTATAACATCACTGATGCATTCAATATACAGCCCCAGGCCTTCCACTCAGTCTAGTCACCATCTATTTTGATGTAATTCATTCTATTTCTACATTTCTCTACATCGTATTCCTCTTGCCTGGGGAACGCCCGAGTAGATTTCTGCAGCTAGTTAGGAGTTATTTTCTAATGTTAAAGTAGTGGCACAGCTCTTCCTAAACTTCTGGTCCAGCTTCCTGAGATAGCCACTTATCAGTTAAAGACTTCTGATAGAGTGAATCCATTAGCATCCCACTGAAGGCCTGGTCTAGTGCTCCACATCTCTCTCGGGCCAGAAATCCCTCTGTCTAGTGGAACTATCTCTCACTGCAATTTGAACTTCTTGCCTCTTGCCTCTTTTCAGTGTAGGCATATGAGAGGTCAGCCCCCACCCCCCACCTTTATAGTAACTTTTCATTTCATTCCTTGAATACAGTCTTTATTTTGATATTCACTTTTTGTTGAGACCCACACAACCAGAAAATCTATGTAACAAAAATCTTCAAACTGACATGGTTGGTGTCATGTGAACAAGTAACCCTTGAACCTGGCATCTTACCAATGTTTTCAGCATTTCTAGCTTTTCAAAATATACCACTATTTCTGTGTCTCTATTCTGGACTCTTATGTTTTCTGCTTTTCTTTTATAGGAAGACAAAATCAATCCAAACAATGGATTTTGTAAATGTGTGAATCTCTCAGGCTATATGTTGCAAACAAGCTTGGTGAAGGAGACCTATTTGTGAAGTGGAATTAGCAGAATCTTGCTGAGCCTAGAGCACAAGAAGCATGGAAAATTCATACCATTAGAGCTGGGTTGGTGTCATCAATAAGATTAGTGGGATACCAGCATTCATCCAGTAAAATCAACCATACTTGGAGATTGAAAAAGACTGGATTTAAGCTACTAACAGAGGAGAGCAGGAAGGGCAATTAATGTTAGATAATCAAAATTGCTCTGAGAATCAAGCAAGGGGAACAGGAAATCAAAACTACAGGGGAAGCAGTCTGATTTACCAATGTCTAGAAGTCTCTATAGACACTGTGTTAAAAAAGTTGGCCATTTTAATTAACAAGTTCTCCTTTAGTTGGTGGTAGCTGTCTTTGAGTAATCTAACAAGAATGTAAACTCTGACTACTCTCAAGGCTTTCATTTTCTCATCTGTCAAATGGGGTTTTTACCAGAGTTTTCCAAGGTCACATCAAGTTCTATAATCTTGACTTTTTTCTGATTTAGAATTCAAAACTAATTTGTTTTCTGTGATAAAAAGGAGATCCCTACAGACCACAAGTCATGGGTCACAGCTAAAATTTTCTTATCTGGAAAAGTAGGAGAAACTTGTTTTTTCCTAGTCACTTGATGTGCATAGACAGAAAAACACCATCCCTTGAGACAGTGATGGAACAGAAACACAGGAGGGAGGGACACATTTTCAGGTTTTTGAATGACCAAAAAATACCTCTCTGTCTGCTAGGCTCCAACATGAGAAATGCCTGAATCTGTTGTGGGAAATTCAAAAGATAATTGCCAAAAACACAGATATCTTTTTAAATAATTTCTCCTAAGAAAATAGTTCTTTTAATCACAATGGTTGAATGTTTTATATACCTTTCAGTTTTTCAGCAACAATGCTGCATTCATGATCTGAATAGTGGACCACTGGGGGTGGGGAAGGTGGGCGTAATCTTTCTTCTTCCATCCTCCTACGGTGGCGCTCCTCCCTTGCTAGCATACGCTGTTTGCATTCCCACTCATACAGGTCATCTCGAGCCTGTGCAAAATCAACATGGAGTCGGCCTGTGTCCTTCTTGTCAGTGCTGGAGCCCAGGCGAATACGGTAACCTAAATGGACAAGAGGCAGAGAGAGTACAAGAGCAGCCCAGTGACTGAAAAATGGTACCTTTCCATGTTCAGTGCTTCAGATGTGGTTGCAGTGGTTTCAAGTGACCATATAATGATAAAAGGGTCAGTCCAACAAAATGATATAACTATTATAAATATCTATGCACCCAACACAGGATCACCTACTTATGTGAAACAAATGCTAACAGAATTAAAGGGGGAAATAGAATGCAATGTATTCATTTTAGGAGACTTCAACACACCACCCACTCCAAATGACAGATCAACCAGACAGAAACTGAGTAAGAAGACAGAGGCACTGAACAACATATTAGAACACATGGACCTAACAGACATCTACAGAACACTCCATCCAAAAGCAACAGGATACACATTCTTCTCTAGTACATGGAACATTTTTAAGAATAGACCATATACTAGGCCACAAAAAGAATCTCAGTTAATTAAAAAAGATTGAAATTGTACCAACCAGCTTCTCAGATCACAAAGGTATGAAACTAGAAATAAATTACTCAAAGAAAATGAAAAAGCCCACAAACACATGGAGACTTAATAACATGCTCCCAAATAATCAATGGATCAATGACCAAATAAAAACAGAGATCAAGCAATATATGGAGACAAATGACAACAATAACTCAACACTGCAAAATCTGTGGGATGCAGTGAAGGCTGTGCTAAGAGGGAAGTATACTGCAATACAGGCCTATCTCAGAAAAGAACAATCCCATATGAACAGTCTAAACATAGAATTAACAAAACCAGAAAAGGAAGAACAAATGAGGCCCAAAGTCAGTACAAGGAGGGATATAATAAAGATTAGGGCAGAAATAAATAAAATTGAGAAGAATAAAACAATAGAAAGAACCAATGAAAGCAGGAGCTGTTTCTTTGAGAACCCCTAGCCAGACTTATCAAGAAAAAAAAGAGAGTCTACACACATAATCAGAATCAGAAGCGAGAAAGGAAAAATCACTATGGACACCACAAAAATACAAAGAATTATGAGAGAACACTATGAAAAATTATATGGTAACAAACTGGATAACCTAGAAGAAATGGACTCCTTTCTAGAAAAATACAACCTTCCAATGCTGACCCAGAAAGAAACAGAAAATCTGAACACACCAATTACCAGCAATGAAATTGAACTGGTAATCAAAAACTTACCTAAGAACAAAACTCCTGGCCAGAAGGCTTCACAGCTGATTTTATCAAACATTTAGTGAAGACCTAATACCCATCCTCCTTAAAGTTTTCCAAAGAGTAGAAGAAGAGGGAATACTTCCAAACTCATTCTATGAGGCCAGCATCACTCTAATAACAAAACCAGGCAAAGACACCACAAAAAAAGAAAATTAAAGACCAAGATCCCTGATGAACATAGATGCAAAAATACTCAACAAAATATTAGCAAACCAAATTCAAATCTACATTAAAAAGATCATACATCATGATCAAGTGGGATTCATCCCAGGGATGCAAGGATGGTACAACATTAGAAAATCCATCAACATCATCCACCATATCAAGAAAAAGAAGGACAAAAACCACATGATCATCTCCATATATGCTGAGAAAGCATTTGAGAAAATTCAACATCCATTCATGATAAAAACTCTCAACAAAGTGTGTATAGAGGGAAAGTACCTCAACATAATAAAGGCCATATATGACAAACGCACAGCCAACATTATACTTAACAGCGAGAACCTGAAAGCTTTTCCTTTAAGATCAGGAACAAGACAAGGATGCCCACTCTTCCCACTTCTATTCAACATAGTAGTGGAAGTCCTAGCCATGGAAATCAGACAATACAAAGAAATAAAAGGCATCCAGATTGGCAAGGAAGAAGTTAAACTGTCCCTGTTTGCAGATGACATGATATTGTACATAAAAACCCTAAAGAATCCACTACAAAACTTTTAGATCTAATATCAGAATTCAGCAAAGTTGTCGGATACAAAACTAATATGCAGAAATCTGTTGCTTTCCTATACACTAAAAGTGAACTAACAGAAAGAGAAATCAGGAAAACAATTCCATTCACAATTTTATCCAAAAGAATAAAATACCTGGGAGTAAACCTAACCACAGAAGTGAAAGACTTATACTCTGAAAACTACAAGACACTCTTGAGAGAAATTAAAGAAAATACCAATAAATGGAAACACATCCCATGCTCATGGATAGGAAGAATTAATATCATCAAAATGGCCATCCTGCCTAAAGCAATCTACAGATTCAATGCAATCCCTATTAAAATACCAACAGCATTCTTCAATGAACTAGAGCAAATAGTTCTCAAATTCATATGGAACCACAAAAGACCCCAAATAGCCAAAGCAATCCTGAGAAGGAAGAATAAAGTGGGGGAATTATGCTCCATGACTTCAAGCTCTACTAAAAAGCCACAGTAATCAAGACAATTTGGTACTGGCACAAGAACAGATGCATAGACCAATGGAAGAGACCTAGGAGCCCAGCTATAAACCCAAGCATATATGGTCAATTAATATACAATAATGGAGCCATGGATATACAATGGGGAATGGCAAAACTGGACAGCTACATGTAAGAGAATGAAACTGGAGCATTGTCTAACCCGATACACAAAAGTAAATTCGAAATGGATCAAAGACCTGAATGTAATTCATTAAACCATAAAACTTTTATAAGGCAACATAGGCAAAAATGGGCGTTATATAGTAGCATGGGCTGGGAAGAATAGAAAAGGTGGCCTCAAACTGTGATGTCTTTGGATAACTTCAGGAGAGTCAGTCACTCCACCACACAGAATTTTGATAAAATTTCAATGTATCAGCTTGGCATTTCAGTTCCCCAAATCACTTCCTAGATGTATTTGGTGACTCTGAAACATTTATTTCTGGGAAAAATAGTAGATACGATGGGGAGAATTATGTGGTCCAGGAGAAATATATTTTGGGATCCTTAAAGAAAGAAGTAGTGTGCTTATAATATAGTGGTATAGGGCTAGGCTTCAGAAAACCAGTATTCAAGTCTGCACCTCCACTTTTTGTGCCATCTATACTACCCATTTTAAGTTTCAACAAAATATAGGGAAAAACATTTAGTAAGTTTTTATTAACTTTTAAAGCTTCAAAAGCTGAACTAGGTTCGTTTATACATTTATATCATTTTATTCTCAACACAAGCTTGCAGAATAGCTCTTGCCTTAAACAACTAAAAATATGGACAAAATAAATGAGACAATAGGTTTTAAGACACTGAACATTAGGCAGTGAAGCTAGATCACTGAGAGACAAGAACCAAATATAGAGATCCCTATCATTTCTCCAACTGTTGCCTGGTGAGAGTTTCCAGGCCTCAGCATAGGAAGGGGAACTTAGGGAAAGCATGGAGATACCCCTGAGTTGAGAAAATTGAATTGAGAATCCAGAGAGACTATGGCAGATAGAGTTTGTAAGGCAGAGTATTGGCAGGAAGAAAGCTACACAGAGAAAGAACTTCAGAGATCTGCAGAGAATCCTCCACTATTATTTAGCTGTGTATTGATGCCTATGTGTGTGTTGGAAACTACCTCAGCATTAGAGACAATTCCTGTAGCACACACAGGGCTATGAGTAGTTTCTTTCCCTACCAGCCAGAGCAGAAAAACTAAGTATTGGGTAGAGTAATCAGAAAGGCTTTGCCTTAGCTAGCTTGGAATACATAAAAATTACCCAATATTCAAAGAAGCAGAAAAATCATAATAAAGATAATCAAATCAGACCCATAAGTGATAAAGATAATACAATTAGTAGATAAGGACATAAAAACTAGTATAATTGGGGGAGGAGCCAAGATGGTGGCATGAGTAGGGCAGTGGAAATCTCCCAAAACCATACATATTTTTGAAAATACAACAAATACAACTATTCCTAAAAAAAAGACCAGTGGATACAGTACAACAGCCAGGCTACATCTACATTCTGCAAGATCTCAGCATAGCACGAAGGGGGTAAGATACAAGCCGTGGCCCAGCGGGTCCCAAGCACTCTCCTCACCCTGGTTCCCCAGCAGCAGGAAAGGAGTCAGAGCGGGAAGGGATTGGAAGCCCAGGATTGCTAATCAACCAGCTCTAGTAATCCGCACCGGGAGCGCAGACACATACTGCATGGTGTGCTGGATATTAGAGAAACAGAAAAGCAAAATCTGTGAGTGGGTCCCCGCAACTGGCTACCATGGGATAAAAGAAAACCGAGTGCTTTTTGAAAGTCTTAAAGGGACAAGGGCCTCACAGCTGGGTGGAAGCATCCCGGCACACTCAGCCCAGCAGGCTGGGAATCCTGAGGAAATTCAGGCGCCCCAGCCTCCTGGGTGGCAACACAGACCTGAAGCCCCTCACAGTGATAAGCAGCCTGCCAGTCATTCCCCTGGCCAGTGTGGCCCCCAACACAGCAGCCCAGTAGCCAGAGAGTGGCCGCATATGCCCATGGCAGCAGAGGAGCAGACTGGGAGCAGCCGCGTGAGCTGCAGGGCAGCAGCAGACCAGACTGAGAGCAGCTGTGTGAGCCCAGGGCCACGGAAGAGTAGCCTGGGAGTAGCCGTGCATGCCCGAGGAAGCAGCGGAGCAGTCGGAGAACAGCTGCACCCTTAGCAGTCGCCCAGAATTTTCTCTAGGTGCGCAGCCACCTGGGCCAGACCCAAAGGCTGCTGCCAGCATGCAGCTGCCTGGCACAGACAGAGGAAACCAGGGCAAGATGGGAAGGGGTGCCGTTATCATAGGAGAGCACACCCAGCGCACCTGCCACTCCCGGCAGGGCTCTGGGCTACCCTGATGGTGACCCCACCCACGGCACCTTAGGGGATTAATCCGGAGGCTGCTGTAGGAGTGTGGGTAACTGACACAGGCAGCAGAGAAGGGCAAGGTGACCAGCAAACAGGAAAGGATGTTGTTCTCCCAGCTGACACATGCGCTACCTGCCTACAGCTACCTCTATTGCCATGAAAAGGGA